AACATTGCAAGACCCCAGAGAAGGTGGTGCGCCCCTGGTGATGAACCCGAGGACCCCAGTGAAGTCCCCAGGACTCCAGCGAGCACCCCAGAACAACAGCAAGCACCCAGGACCCCAGCAAATCCCTCCAGGACCGCAGCGAACACCCCAGGACCGCAGCGAGAACCCCAGGACTGCAGCGAGAACCCCAGAATCACGGCGAACCCCCAGGACCGCAGCGAGCACCCCAGGACCCCAGCAAAGCCCACAGGACCGCAGCGAGCACCCCAGGACCCCAGCAAGAACCCCACGACTGCGGCAAAGCCCCCAGGAAAGCAGCGAGCACCCCAAGACCCGAGCAAAGTCTCCAGGACCCCAACAGAACCTACAGGACCCCAGCGAAGACCCCAGAACCCCAGTGAAGCCCCCAGGACCCCAGCGAGCACCCCAGGACCGCAGCAAAGCCCCAGAAACCCAGCGACCACTCCAGGATACCAGCGAGCACCCCAAAACCCCAGTGAAGGTGCTGAGACCCCAGAGAATGCCCCTGGACCCCAGAGAAGTCCCCAAGAAACCAGTGTTAACCTAGAGACTCCAGTGAAGACCCCGAGAGACCAGTGAACACACCAGGACCCAAATGAAGGTTCTGAGACTCCAATGAACATCCCAAGACCCCAGAGAAGGTGGTGAGCACCTGGTGATCAACCCGAGGACCCCAGTGAAGTCCCCAGGACCCCAGCGAAGCCCCAAGAACCCCAGCGAGCACGCCAGAACGCCAGCAAAGGCCCCAGGACCCCAGGGAGCACCCCAGGACAGTGGCGAAGCCCCCAGGACTGCGGTGAGGAACCTAAGACCCCGGTGAAGCCCCCAGGACCCCAGCAAAGAACCCAGGCCCACCCCCAAGAACCCTGGCGAGCACTCCAGAACCCCAACAAAGGCCCCAGGACCCCAGGGAGCACCCCAGGACCGCGGTGAGGAACCTAAAACACCGGCGAAGCCCCCAGGACACCAGAGAGCACCCCAAAACCCCAGCGAGAACCCCAGGACCCCAGCAAAGCCCTCCAGGACTGCAGCGAGAACCCCAGGACTGCAGCGAGAACCCCAGGACTGCAGCGAGAAGCCCACAACTGCGGCAAAGCCCCCAGGAAAACAGCGAGCACCCCAGGACCCAAGTGAAGGTTCTGAGACACCAATGAACATCCTGAGACCCCAGAGAAGGTGGTGAGCACCTGGTGATCAACCCGAGGACCCCAGTGAAGTCCCCGAGACCCCAGAACCGTAGTGAACACTCCAAAACCTCAGTGAAGACCCCAGGACTGTAGTGAACACTCCGAAAACCCAATGAAGACCCCAGGACCCCAGCAAAGACCCCGAGAACCCACTGAACACTCCAGAACACCAGTGAATGCCCCAAAACAACTGTGATACCCCAAGACACTAGTGAACACCCCAGGACGCCAGCGAAGCCCCCAGGACCGCAGCGACCACCCCAGGACCCCAGCAAAGCCCACAGGACCCCAGCTAGCACCCCAGGACCCCAGCCAAGCCCCCAGGACCCCAGCAAGCACCCCAGGACCATGGCGAAGCCACCAGGACCGCAGCGAGGAACCTAGGAACCCAGCGAGCACCCCAGGACCGCAGCGAGCAAACCCCAGCATCCCAGCGAAGACCCCAGGACTCCAGCGAGCATTCCAGGATGACAGCGAGCACCCCAGGACCCCAGCAAAGCCCCCCAGGACTCCAGCGAGCACCCCAGGACCGCAGCAAGAGCCCCAGGACTGCGAGTACCCCAGGACCCCAGCAAAGCCCCCAGGACCCCAGCAAAGTCCCCAGGACGCCAGCGAGCACCCCAGAACACCAGCAAAGCCCCCAGGACCCCAGTGAGCATCCCAGGACCATGGCGAAGCCCCCAGGACCGCGGCGAGGAACCCAGGAACCCAGTGAGCACCCCAGGACCGCAGCGAGCAAACCCCAGCGAAGCCCCCAGGACTCCAGCGATCATTCCAGGACCACAGCGAGCACCCCAGAACCCCAGTAAAGCCCCCCAGGACTGCAACGAGCACCCCAGGACTGCAGCACGAACCCCAGGACTGCAGCGAGCACCCCAGGACCGTGGCGAAGCCCCCAGGACTCCAACAAGTACCCCAGGACCCCAGCAAAGTCCCCCAGGACTCCAGCTAACACCCCAGGACCACAGCGAGAACCCCACGACCGCGGCAAAGCCCCCAGGATACCAGCGAGCACCTCAGGACCCAGGCAAGCCCCCAGGAACCCACCGAGCATCCCAAGACCTGAGAAAAGTCCCCAGACCTCAGCAAAACCTGCAGGACCCCAGCAAATCTCCCAGGACCCCTCAGGACCCAGGCAAGCCCCCAGGAACCCACCGAGCATCCCAAGACCTGAGAAAAGTCCCCAGACCTCAGCAAAACCTGCAGGACCCCAGCAAATCTCCCAGGACCCCAACAGAGCCTACAGGACCCCAGCGAAGCCCACAGGACCCCAGCAAAGCCCTTAGGACTCCAGTGAAGCTGCTTAGACTTCAGAGAAGGCCCCTGGACCCCAGAGAAGACCCCAAGAAACCAGTGTTAACCTAGACACTCCAGTGAAGACCCCGAGAGACCAGTGAACACCCCAGGAACCAAATGAAGGTTCTGAGACTCCAATGAACATTGCAAGACCCCAGAGAAGGTGGTGCGCCCCTGGTGATGAACCCGAGGACCCCAGTGAAGTCCCCAGGACTCCAGCGAGCACCCCAGAAC